ATATTGCACCTCCTCCTTCTTCACCAGCCTGTACCTCCCTAACGCCGGGAGAACCTTCGTCCACAGCACCCAATACCCAGCACCGACAACGAAAATACCGATACCAATGACGACATGCAGCCAGTACGGCAAGTGCAGGTATGGACTCTGCCCAGCTACAGGCGGGACGAGCGGGGCAGCGGCGAGGAAGAGGTTGGAGAGGAAGAAAAATGCGACGACGGGAGCGGAGGCGCGGAAGGGCGGGGCCCAGACGAAGCCGAGGCGCGCGCCCAAAGGCGTGTAGCCCAATACAAGTAGGCCGCCGCTGATGGCGGCGTTGATGATCGCAAGCGGGTACGAGATCACTACATCCTCCTGGTCAGCTCAGAATAAAGAATGGGGAGAGGAATCACTCGCTATTCAGGATCAAATTGTAGGCGTCCCCGGGAGGAGGCGAGCAAATTATGATCACACACATGGCCCACTGCAGCGCAAGCCCCGCCAGCGGCGCACCGAACGGTTTATTCGACGCCCAGAAGCCCGAAAACGGCAGCACGCCCATGCGCCCGAGCTCCTGGTTAATGCGCCCCTGGCTGAACAGCACCGCCATGACGTTCCCCAGCGCGCTGAGCGCGACGCACACGCTCAGCGCCTTGCTCGCGGAGGCGCCGAACATGTTGGTGAAGTACAGCGCGGCGATGGTCTGCCCTGAGGCGAGGATGTCCGCCTTGGGCACGGCGGCGAAGTAGGCGATGTTGACGAGCATGTAGACGATGGAGATGGAACCGATGGCAAGAGGGCCGGCGATTTTGAGGGTGCGCACGGGGTTTTTGACTTCGGAGAGGGCGTAGTTGACGTTGGAGTAGCCGATGAACGACCTGCGTTGTGGTTAACCCTCATCTATACGATGTCAAGACAGTGAAAGACGTACCATATGACATTATAAAGCCCCGTCACGAAGGCATTGGCGTTGCTATTCGTTCCCGCAAAGCCGTTGCGAAAGTTGTGCGGCTTCTGGTCCTCGGGTAGTTTGATGCGTCCCGCGAGAGCTGCAAAGCCCGAGAACGCAATGAGCAACAGAACCGCAATCTTGAACACCCCAAGAGCATTTTGCAGACGCAAGCCCCATTTGAGGAAGCACCCGTGTACGATGAGTGCAAAGGTAACACATGCGATGCCGATGCCGCGTTGGTTCCACTGCGTAACCTCTACGTTGGCTGCAAGCAGAATATCTATGGAGTCAAAAGTCAGCGGGATAATAAACGGTGGGCAGGAGAGGTAAACAACGCACATTCTCCGAACACCACAGCGTTGCCGGCGGGCCATGGCATGGTGGCTGCATATGCGGCGAACATGGCGACGACCAAGTAACGCGGGCGTGTATAGAGATAACTCAAGTATGTGAGCTCTCCCCCCGAGCGCGGAAGCCCCGTCCCGAACTCGACATATACCGCCAAGCCAGACGCAGCGATGAGCGCGCCAATGACCCACATGAAAAGCGCGAGCCCTACGGAGCCCGCGCTTGCGAGGATTGAGGACGGCGTGGCGAATATACTACGGAAACGGTAGGTAAGTGGGACTCGTAGGCGCGTCTGAATAAGCCATACCCTGTGCCTATTATGCGGTTGAAGATGATGAATACCGCAGAGACCAGCCCGATGGTCCGTTTCTCCTGCGGTACAGCATCGAAAGACTCGCCATAGTGACCTTTCGATAAGTATGGAATAAGTACTCGGAGAAGGAAGCAAAAAATACACTTGCCGTCACTGTTTACGTCCGTCAAGGCTTTGCTGTCTTCGCGTTCACTCTTGTCCAAGCTGTCCCCACTTCCAAACGACGATTTGCGCCCTCTCGGTGAGCCTCGCTCCTCGAGACCCACAGCAGGAGCGTCCGACATGTGCAGGAAAAGTCAAGGAAAAATGTGAGCCTGAAAAACTTCCGTCGTAGGGTATATATAAGCGTGCGATTGCGCCATCGTTGGGCTCATCCAAGTTCCGGATCGTCCATGCGGCCAAGAACGTCGTTGCCGGCATTGAGCGGTACTGTGAGAGGCTCGCAAAATGACGCGCGGATGGCGAAAGAAGCTGGAAAAAAGACGACGATCCCTCTGGTCCTGGTCTGGGTCCTCCGAGTCGCGTCGCGCTGGTACCCACGGGATTGCGTCCTACGGATGGTCCTGATTCGTCGAGGAGCAGACTTCCTTCCGGAAGGTGTCGCACAGCGTGTTCGAACTTGGTTCAAATGAGTGTCAGTACCGGCGGCGGCCTCGCGGAATCAAGGTCGAACAACGAGCAGGAATCCAGCCGCAACATCAGGATAACCAGCTTGGCAGATACGCCATCGGGGACGGGACGCGGCTCCATGCGTTTCACAGTCGTAGCTTGGTCGCGTTACATCGCGGATGTGGGCTCGCCCGCTCCATCACGGTATAGTCAGCGCCAAAGGAAACACCTCCCAGCGTTCGTCTTGAAACTTGAGCTCGCGTCTTCACGCAAATCCCACGCGCAACAGAGGGGGTGTCGGTTTCAGGAAGATATACCGCATAACAAAAGTGAGGAATAAAAGAACCGTTGGACTGCCAGTGCTGAGATGAGTCAGCGATAATGTAGAGTGCACAGCGACGGAATGAAACGGATGTCGAACCCAGTGGGGCTGCGCCAGCATGAGCTCTTTCCCTCGTAGTCATGCCGACCTGGGCGGAGCACGTTGAGCGGCGATGTGCGACACGGCGCGCGGCGCGAGCCACGAAAAAGTTGCCCGAAGTGACCCCAGTGATAAGAGCCCAAGTTTGGCCCAAGTCCAAGTAGGTCGGCAGGGGCGCGTAATGAAGCAGCGGTAAACTCGCGGCTAGCCCGGAGGGTGCAGCAGATTGGTGCTCGTAGAGAATAATCGGAAGTGGCCACTTGGTGGTCACTGTCAGATAATATCTCAGATAAGGTCGTGCCAGGAAGCACGAGCACAGCAAACAGGACACAACAACGCGTCGCGTCGGTTTAACCGTAGTCATTTCATCTCGCCCCGCCTTTTTATCCGTTGCTGTGATGTATCGCGTCGTCTCAACCATACCATCTCGCCCCGCCTTCCGCTGCTGTGATGTATCGCGTATTTGAGAGATAAAACTAGAGCCAGCCGAAAAAAAAAGAAGGAAAAATAAATGAAGCTGGACGGCCTAGCCTTGACTCGAGCAAGGACTCCCTCTTTGTATATATATGGGACCAGACATCATACCAGAAAAGGGCGCGCACCGTCACGCACCGCGCCTTGGATATTGGCATGCATTTTGTAGCTGGTCTCGAGACGAGCATGGAACTGAAATTCGAAAAAGACCGGCGCCATGGTGGCAGGAAGCACAAGCACAGCAAGCAAGGAGCAACTGCGCGTTGCATCTAGTCATCGGGCATCATCCTGACTTGAATTTTCTACCGCTATGTACAAGAGCAAATCAGGCCACGGCGGGGAAAGGCATAACGGGAACAGCGTAGCGCTGAAGGAGCGTACTAGATCTCACCTTGAGGCAATCAGCACGGCCGTTGGCACGAAAGGTTGCGGAACTTGACAGCTGTTGCACTATCGGAAAAACCGTAGTTCAACGTTCAACGTTGATGGGCGCCATGGTCTGTAAGCGCAAAAGATCCGTGTCGTGGATGTGAATCTGCTGCTCTCCAAACTCAATTGAACTGTTTGACAAGGAACTTGACGCAGAGGGATGTTTGGAACACACACCAATATTAATGATAACCTATGAGTACCGCGTACATCTTCATAACCGGGAGATCTAGACGGGGTTCGATTCCCCACCGGTGCATGCGTGAAACTCTGGGGTTCTTTTTTTCATTTCCTAGCATGTTGTTACTGCATTCTCGAATCGCCTGAATCGCTGTGCTGTTGTTTTTTTCACACCCGCTGGAGAGTAGAGCATGTGTCTGTAATGGTTCAGCGTTGAACCGCGGATGATACTTTTCACATTCGGTGTTGAGCCATTGTTGAATCAGCTGCGGATGCAGTGTGCACTTTTTTCTTCACCCTAAGGACTCAGAACGAGCATATGGACAAAGCATTGAGAAGGGAGGGAATAAGCATCGATGGTGTACGGAACACGCACCAGTATAATACGTCCCAAGACAAGTCCTTCTGGCATTATAATGGTGAGACGGGGTTCGACTCCCTCCGGTGCATTATGGTGATGTTCAGGTGAACCCGCTTTTTTCTAGTCTGCTAGGTAGAAACCAGTGCCGATGGAAGGACGTCGCCGTGCCACAAATTAATATTCTCCCAACAAGCAAGCGGTGAGAGTTTAAACCAAGTGGAATCGTAAAATTTTAAAGTGTGCTCGGAGAAGATTCGACTGGGCACCCTAGCCGTTGTAACTTCTCGATCCTCAACCTCAAAGAAAGAAAGAAATTGGCGACCCACGCTGAGCGACACCCATACAGTTTTGAATGAGGTTAGTCACTGTGAGAGCCCAGTCCGGGAGGCAGACCGCCTTCAAATCAGCAGTATTGCACCGGAGACTTGAATCCAAGTAGGAATTGCACTGAGCTTTGATCGTTCCCGAATCGGCGGACCTGTGGCTATCTGGGTTGTCTTTTTATCGTACTACCAGGAGAGCATGTGGATGTGATGGTTGAACGAAAGGGTATACGCACCGGCGGTGTATGGAACACGCACCTATACGATGGCAGCGGTTTCATGCTCTTCGGCGTTACAAGGGTGAGACGGGGTTCGATTCCCCACCGGTGCATGCGTGAAACTCTGGGGTTCTTTTTTTCATTTCCTAGCATGTTGTTACTGCATTCTCGATCGCCGGAATCGCCGCGGCGGTTTTTTTGTCTTTCCACCTCTGCTAAGGAGTTGGTCCATGTGTCTGTGCACGTGAATCTTCAGCGCTCAACCACGTTCAACCGCCGACGGTACTTCGGATCGGTATCGAGCCCTCAAGTTGAATCAACGAATGTTGTCTTTATCTTCTCCATTCCCGCCGAGAGAGCAGAACGAGTATATACATAAAGCATTGCGAATAAGCATCGATGGTGTACGGAACACGCACCAGTATAATACGTCCCAGGACAGGTCCTTCTGGCATTATAATGGTGAGGCGGGGTTCGACTCCCCCTCGGTGCATGAGGAATGCTTTGCCAGTTACTTTTTCTCTCCGACAGAGACGGTAAGCTAGCGCTGATAATAAGTATGGGGTGAAATTTGCTAAAGAAATCTGCTTATCATAGATTAAACTGGTTCAACTAGGATTCACGAATTGGCGAAAGCGCTGCGGCTACTTGGAATGTGAGGGGTTAACATCTTTCCTAATGGTGAGACGGGGTTCGATTCCCCCCGCCGGTGCATGTGGTGATGGTGGTAAGTACTACCAGGCTCTTTTTCTACAAACCATACTTAAGGGATGAGAGGTCTCGGAGGATAGCTTCCCGCGCGAGGTCAAAGACCGGGACCCACACCTACGGTCGAGCTGCCAGACTGCAGGAGATTTATGAGCAACGGTGCTTTGGGGAAAGAGAACGGAAGGGTATTTATACGCACTGGTAGACGCACCGATAGGATACGTTTGAGTCGTCGACAACAATGATGGTGAGACGGGGTTCGATCCTCCGCCGGCCCGGGTGCATTTTCAGATTCTGTGCTTCTTCTTTTTTCGTATGTCAACTCTTTTCCTTCCAGTAATCTCCGTACCAAGCCGAGCTCTGGCTACTAGAGGAGCTGATATGTGTACATACCTAATACGCGACGCTTCTCAAACCCGAGCAATGTTGACGGTTAAACTTCAACTTCAACTTACGGCATGGTTCATCAATTCCGCTGGCAATGCATGGGCCAAGTTGGTCATTGCCTTTCGATTTCGATTTTTTTGCCACAGTCAAGCCAGAAGTAGTGGCTCCAGGCAAAGATGGAACCTGATACGCAATATGAGCTGTTTACGGGGGCCAAGATCGAACTTTAACCATTCCCCAGTCGCGGAACCCCGCCTGTTCGCTGTCTCAATGGTAAGTAGGGGTTCGATCCCAGTGTCAGTGTGTGAATTGCGGTGGAGATCACCGAGCGCAAACGTAGGCACCCATCTCTCCATTGGCTTCGACGCTGCAAGTGAAACAACAACAACAACAGGAGTCCGGCGACGGTGATTAGCAGTCAGGGAAGCATCCTTTCAATCTGGCGTTGCGCTACCTTCCGGGTGAACGATATGAATAGACTTGAACCGAGACTTGAACCGTGGGAAATTAGTATTACTCAACTGATCGAAGTTTCACTCAGAACGGCTGAGCGAGTGCACACTGCAGAGCGATCCTCTCATTTCGTCCTGGATTCTTGCAGCGAATCTCGATCCTCAAACCAGATATCTTGCTCCGGACCTTCCTGTCAAAAAACCTCGATGATGGCATTCAAGTCATACCGACATTTTCCCCGGGCGCGAAAGAAAGAGCGCCGCAATGGCGCCGCTAGCTGTGTGAGAAGCGGGTATCAGCCAATTACAGCCAATGTTCGGCAGTTGAGCATCGCTTTGCGATGTTCCCGATGCTCCGAAACCCCGCCCGACCGCCAGCTCGGGCATCCCGGTGTTGTGCGACGGCGCGCGTTGTTCGAGTCATACCTGGCCAGAGGATATATAGACACTTGTATCGTCTCCCTTGATTCAGAATCTGTATGTCCAACTCCTCCGCTGCTAGTCTTCCAGATGACGTGCTGGCAGCAATTCTGAAGCTGGTCGCCGACCTTCCGGTGATCACGTCCAGGAGGACTCTGCCAGCGCCCGTCGCTGCCAGCCGTGTCAGCCGCCAGTGGCGTGTCGTCGCGCTCGGCTCCGCGGACCTCTGGACAAACATTCGCCTGTCTCACCACCGGGCGTGGTCCTGGTCCTGGGCGGCGGTCTTTGTGAAACGATCCTGTTCTTATCCCCTCGATATCACTATCGACCTCCAGGCTTGGCGCTGCCGCGATGCCCCCATTCCTTTCCGCAGGGCCCTCACGATTGTGGGCCCACACATCGGCCGCTGGCGTACATTTGCCTTGCAGGCGCCCGCAGCCCAGTTTAGGGAGCTTGCGGCATTCGTGGGGCGGGCAACGGTTGCAGCACGGCAGCTTGAATACTGCCATCTCTCATGGATGGATTGGCCTCTGCTAGACCGAACACTGCACTTGGGAAAGCTGTTCGGGAGCCAGTCAGTCCGCGCGGTCAGGATTGAAGCCTGGTCAGTGCCTGATGACATTGCTGCTTTCCGTGCCCTCCGGACCCTTGATATCGTCTTCACCCCCGAGGCTGTCTCCGCCCCGGCATTCCGCCAATTATTGGGTCCCTTGTCACAATTAACAACCCTTATTATCCGGGGATTCCACCACCGGTATGAGTGGTGGCCTGCCATCCGGCCCATTGACTGCTCGACCATAAAGTCCTTTGTCATCGACTTCGGCGATCTCCTCTACGAATGGCCACCGTATCCCCGTCCTGGTCGACCAACAGGCTTCAAATCTATAAACGACATATTCTCTCTCCCAAATCTAGAGCATCTCGAGATCCTAGGTGGATTCTCGGGCTCGCTCTGGGAAAATGAACGCATCTCGCTCCCCGAGGAGTGGGAGGCTCCTCTTTTCCCCTACCTGCGCACTCTGCGTCTCGAGGACGTAGGATTGGGCTACCGCGGGCTCGCCTTTATCCAATCTTTGAGTCAGAACATCACCGTCCTACAGCTCGTCCACACCGATGGGGAGCACCGCCTACTTACCAATCCTGCGGCTTGGCCAGCGCTGCGTGATCTCACGGTCGAAACTGCGGCCGGCGTCGTCAACCTTGAGTGGCTCGCGCCTTATGTAGTAGCGCGCGCCGCTCTGGGCATGCCTCTCTCGGATATAACACTTACACCGGGGGTGAAGAAGCTGAACATCGCATCTTGCCTCATGGTAGCAAAGGTGGCCCCCGCAATACATTGGCAGCGTACTGGCCCGTCCTCCGCGCTCATGGATGGTTTGTGCGGCCAGGGATTCTATATCGACACATATGATATGCGCGCGGTGAACTTCGACTATGTTCCATGGGCAAAGGAACCTTATGACTGGTACGATCCGCTCCAAGTCGCGGCACGGGCCGAAGAATGCATTGCTCAGGTTGAAAGTGAATTACTGGAAGAAGAGATCGAGTGGGACCTCAAGATGCGTGGAGAGGTACCGAGATCAAATGGCATGCGCCGCAAATTAGCGAGGAAGAGACGGCGTAGATCAAAAATTAGCTCACGCACGGTGGCGAAGGAGGTGAGGGGTGGTCCGAGATCTTGGCGCTATAATTACATGGCTGAGGAGTACTCGGTAGCATGAATCCAATAACTTTGTACCTGAGTTTTCTTTCTATGGATTGTTGTGTCATTTAATGCGACCAGGGCCAAACCGATTGGGTTTGATTCCTTCATTTTTACGTTTTCCTTTTGCGCCCCGTCCAGATAGTCACACCAAAAAAAGAGACCATTGGAGTAACCCAAGACAGACGTTGTAACGTGCCAAACCAACTGTCGGACTGCCCGCCCACATAATCCTCTTCTGCTCCGTGGATATGGATGCAATTTACTAGCAGGGCGCGAAATGCTGCATTTCGACAGTTAGGAGAGCTCCAATGGCGGGCGAGGTGCCAGAACTTTTGGGACGAGTACGGGCCCTCGGGAGGGGTCCAGGCGCACTTTTATCAATCTTCGCAACTTGGGGCCGAGTAAACCCGGAGGTATCGGGGATCGATTGGAGACGAGCAGAGACCTCGAAGGTTCCGGCGCTTCACTCCCAAAGCAGGAGTTCACAGTCCCTTATAATAGATCTCAGCGCAATCTCCTCACTGTCCGAAAATGATACGCACATGATGAGTGTATGGGTGAGGAGTTTGTCATTAATTCGGGCAGTGTCCAAGAGAGGATAACCCACCACGCTCATACATCGCCATCTCGTGCGCTTTCGAGTCAAGGAGGCTCCTGCACCACCACACGTACGCACGCCCCTCGGACGTGGCACCATCGAAGACCATCACCACCGAACGAGGCGCCGTGCGCGCCGCACCGCCGACGTATTACGCATCGCCCCGGGCGATGTGATGGTTGAACGTGATGGTATACACATCGGTTGTGTATGGAACACGCACCGATACAATGAGCCGTGCAGTCTGGTCTTGTCCATGGTGAGACGGGGTTCGATTCCCCACCGGTGCATACGTGAAACTCTAGGGTGCTTTTTTCATTTCCTAGCATGTTGTTACTGCATTCTCAGATCGCCGGAATCGCCGCGGCGGTTTTATTGTCTTTCCACCTCTGCTAAGGAGTTAGCTAGTACATGTGTCTGTGAATTTTCAGCGCTCAACCACGTTCAACCGCCGACGATACATACTTCGGTGATCGGTATCGAGCCCTCAACGAATGTTGTCTTTATGTTCTCCATTCCCGCCGAGAGAGCAGAACGAGCATACGGACAAAGCACTGAGAAGGGAGGGAATAAGCATCGATGGTGTACGGAACACGCACCAGTATAATACATCCCAAGACCAGTCCTTCTGATTACAATGGTGAGACGGGGTTCGACTCCCCGCCGGTGCATTATGATGATGCGCTTTTTTCTAGTCTGCTAGGTGGAAACCAGTGCCGATGGACGGACGTCGCCGTGCTACAAATTAATATTCTCCCAATAAGCAATAAGCAAGCGGTGAGAGTTTAAACCAAGCGGTGAGAATTTAAACCAAGTGAGATCGCACATTGTAACTTCTCGATCCTGAAAGAAACAAATCGGAGACCCACGCTGAGCGACACCCATAGAGTTTTGCATGAGATTAGTCACTGTAAGAGACCAGTCCGGGAGGCAGTCCGCCTTCAAATTAGCAGTAGTGCGCCGGAGCCTTGAATTAGAGTAGGATTGAAATATTGAAACGTGGAGATCGATGGTCAGCCTGAGGACACAGTAACGCGTGCGTGGATAAGACATAAGCGCAGGGTAGAGCGCCGTAAGAATGATTGAGGCACGGGAGTCAAGATGTACGATGCTCGAATGAGCGTTACGCAAATAAACCGTGTAAAACAAAACGCGCGCCGCGTGCCCATGCGCCCCGAAAACACACAACGCGAATGGCTCGCCGGCTTGCGCGCGCCTGCACC